TTTTTTCCTTTTGTTTTTAATTTCACATTTCCATGTAGTGATGGTTAACAGTTGAGGTTCTGATGTAAGCTGAGTCTGTGTTCAAGTTCCAGCTCTACCAGCTGCATGCTCTCTGACCCTGGGAAAATGACTTGCCTTTTTCTGAGTCCCTCTTTCTAGATCATTACACTAGGAATAACGATAGTATTTATCACAGGTGTTTTTGTGAAGAGTAAATGAGATAATGTTATGATGTTCTTAGCATAAGAACTATATCACATAGTAAGTGCTTAGTAAATATTAGCTATTATTAATATTTGAATCAGTAATATAATAAGCATATTAAGAAACATTTATTATGATTATTATTAGAAACAAACCTGGAAAAAGAAAGCCAGCAGGAAAAATAAGTAACATTCTTTCTGGATTTTTACTATTTGGTTTTTGGTAAAGGATAATATATTATTAGTTTTTGGCAAAGGATAAACACATCATTAGTTTAAGTAAAAACTTAGCTCTCTAATTGTAAAAATTATGCTTAGGTTTGTGATCTTGATATTAAATGTAAGACACAGAATTGAGACACGAAATAAATACATATACTCATTAAGACTAATTGGAAGGAAAACAAATCTGATTAAAAATATTTTTTAAAGACAAATAAAATAACTAGGATAACAGTGTCTATTTGTATTTATTTATGCAAGACTAGAAGGATCTTCGTTTTGGTGACTAAATAAAAATATTTACAGGAGTCATATCAATTGCATTATTATAAGTAGTACATATACAAATATCAGAATGACAAAAACTAGCATATTTAGTTAGCACTTACTGTGTACAAACATTGTTTTTAGAGTTTTATGTATGTTACCTCATTTAATCGTTCTTAAATCATATGAATTAGGAATGCTTTTTAATAGCCATTTTATAGGGGAAGAAACTGATTAGTACCAGTCTAATTGCTTTAAGTAATAAAAATTTTAAGTAATAAAACAACTGGGGACTAAATGGGTAATTGGTACAATATAACTTAAACATATCTGTGTAACTTTTCTCTTTCAAGAAATATATTTCATTCCTTTAACCACCTATTTTATTCTTTATTTCAATTTATAATCAATTCAAAATACCAAAGTGATCTAGGTTCAACTTAATATTTTAGCTAACAACTCATCTGAATCATGTCAAGAGTTGCTTTTTTTCTCAATGTTAGAATATTTATTACCACTAGTCCATCAGTTTACCTTTTTGTCTTCAACAATATGTTCTCAATTATTAGCTTGGGCCTCCTATTATGTTATCACTTCCCAGGATTTTCCCATTCAAAGGCTTTTTGAATTGAAGATTTTTCATTTTAATTAGTTATACAATCTTTAAATAAATGCAGTTTAAAACCTTATCTCCTGTTCTACTTAAAATTCCCATTTGTTCTGTTATTTCATTTTCTCAAGTCTATTTTGACTTAAGAATTGGTACAATTTTTACCTGAAAAACCTAAAATAGGAATCACTCTGGAGGTAAATGACAGCAAACCATCCATACTGACAGGAAAGGTGAATTGGAGTAAAGGTGACTGGAGTTCGGTTTCACAAATAAGAGAAAAGTGCAAGGCAAATAACTTTTGTATTATCTCAATTCAAAATCCCACAGAAGTCCTCTTGTTTCTTATAAAGCAATGGGTAATCATATACCAACCTTGGACTCATCTAATCCAAGCTTCTTTAGAGACTTTTTGACATAATCCAGAAAGGAAGAGGATTTGGCGTAAATTTTACCAACATGCCGATCACTGCAAAAAAAAACCTGAATCACTTTTTAGTTTTTCCAATTTAAATCATAGATCATTTAAAATTCAATCATAAAATGTTTTTAAATACCTTCTGTGTACATGACACAAGCTCCACTTGTGAGAAAAATGTAGTAATATTTTTGTGAACAGTTTTAACTTATATATTATAAAAATATTCAAGATCTGCTTTTGAGAATTCCTTT